GTCCTGTGCACCTGCCCGCAACTACCCAGGTGTGCAAGGGGTTTTTATTTACATAATGCATAAATAAATAACTGACTCTGCACGGAGCCTGCGTGTTTCCTGGTCTGATACTTTGTGGTCTCCTCTCAGTCCCAGTGTTTTCAGCTCGGCCCTCAGGGCTCTTATCTCTTTCTGAAGCTCTGCAGGATCAGGTTTGCCAAGATATGGAAGTGGAAGAGGATAGTGTATCCTAAACAAAAAGAAATAAATTGAAAACTGCTCTGTTTTAAAAGTGATCAAAGTAGACTGAGTAATTAAACTACACAGACCTGTCAAACTCCACAGTGTAGATGAGGATGAGGTATCGTTTTGCACTGAGAGCAGGAGACTGCGGCTGAGCACGAGGTCGGCCAACTACACCTGCCTTTCTGTTCCGCAAAAGCTCAAGGTCGGAATATGTCAAGAGGTCAAGGGTCACTGATTCACTGGACTGCAAAAGAGAATTAAAGCAAATTAGATTTATTTTTAGTCATTTCATAGCCATTGTTTTCTGTTGCAAATAATTCAATAAGTGCATAGTAGGGTGGCACATTAATTGAAATCTAACCGAAACTGTGGCATGATGTGATATCAAATCGCAAAGGCTGTGATTTAATTACATACATTTTTGTGCAGCATGTTTCAGAGTGAACAGTAGCACTGTTCATCACGCAACCAGCTCATGAACGGGTGTTTTCAGCGTCTCAGAGCAGCTCAGTTCACAGTAAATTCTGCTCCACACAAAGCCATCTCTAAATCTGGTCTACTTTTGAGTGGCTTATAACACATTTGGGAACGGAACATACACCAACCATCTTCCCAAACTTGTAATGAGAACCAACTGTTTGCTTACTGCTTTTTTTTCTTTTTTTTTTAAATAAAATCTTAAGGGGCCACACAGAATGGCTTTTTTGGAGAACTGGTTCATTGTGCTACTTTTCATCCCCCAACACTGACATGCGTCTCGTGTTTTTAACATCAAAAACGTGTTCTGTGTAAATGGAAGATGAAGAAATTCAGACAGTTGTAAAACTGTAAAATGAAATTGTATTACCTTCATTCTTTTTTTTTTTTTTTTTGCTTTAGAGTGAAATATTACATTATTAATGTTTTGTATTTTGTTTAGTATTCTTTATTTAGTAATACTACTACTACTAAATAGTAATAACTATTTTATTCATATTGATATATAATCACAATTTTTTTGGGCCAAATAGTGCAGCCCTACAAACAAGCACAGCACACCAGAATAAAAAAAAAAAAAAAAAAAAATGTATGAGCGGGTGAGAGGTCCCCAAATTGTGCAGCCCTAGTGCATTTACTGTCACGACAAGCATTAAGAATTAAGACACCATTACAGTAAATATGATTTTGTTTTTATGGACCCACCTTGTTGACGGCAGACTCAAGCATGCTACAGAATACTGGAAACTGTTTAAAATTCCCAGTTTTCCGGGTCAGATCCTCAATATCTAATTATAGGGGAAAAAATTATAATGATATAAAACTACATTTCAAGCAACCAAACAGCGAATGTCAGTTTTAAAAGCTTAACTTACAGGCAGGATCGAACTCTCCTCTCCACTGGTCCGCTGTAACAACATCTGAAATCTCTACGATTAGTAACCGCTCCGCCAACTCGACCTTGACAGCAAATTCAGCGCCCCGAAATTTCATTTCGTCCTGCACAACTGTGCCACTGCCAACCTCCATTGCGTGCCACTAACAGCCGAAACTAAAGGAATCATTGCACATGGTCATTGCAGTTCCTAATATAATAATGCTCTGATCAGAATTTCTTGATTACAGTTACAGATAGATATATAGATAGATAGTCTTATTATACGAAAAAGTTCATTATAACCATGCAGTTTTCATTAAGGTTGTCAGTATTCTTCATATTAGTGCTGTTAATGTCAAATACACACCGACCTGTCCATTACAAATGTCAACTTCATCACTGCCATGACAGGCAGGATTTAGGTCATGAAACATTTCAATGAATGACACCCTTATATCTTTACACTTCACTGAATTTCTTTGTATCTTAGATAAATAGAGGTTGTAATCTCATTTATTCATGAATTAATTTGCAACATAAGTTGCAAACTAATAAACAACTCAGCATGTCAGTTGAAAATGACGGAGGACTTGCTAACCCTAAAGATTTGCCAAAAGACTAACGTTAACGTTACCAACGTAGGGCTAGTCGCACAATAATAACACTATAAAATCAATCGCAGGAATAATAAAGACATCATACGTCATGATTTGGAGGCTACAGGAGAACATGCGACTACAGAGGATGATAAATGTGCATAAGTTCATGTTACGATAGATGCATCTTAGTCCACACACAACTAGCACATTAGCAACATACCCGTTATTGGTGGAAATGCTTTAAGCAGGGACGAGCTATACGATTAAAAACCTACATTTATAACGTCGATGAAATGAATGGAAAAAACTGAAAGCAGATTAATATCTTTTCTATGCTAATTTAGCTAGCGCATGTTCATAAAACAGGTCGTTGACTCGTGAGTTGAGAGCTCGAACAACTGAAAACAGCGGCTCAATGACCGGGAATTTAAAACTCCCGCCCACAACTGTTTACATTGGTCAACTTGTAGAAAAGTTGATATTCTATTGGGTGTTCTGCCTGTCAATCAAAAAGAAAAGGTTTCATTTTGGCAACGCCTTCGGATAACTCTTGACGCCCATAAAATACATTTTATATGCATAGTTTATAAAACATTAAAAACTGTCAAACATTACAAAATAAATAAATAAAAATAACATTGACATCCTGTTCCTTTTGTGGAGCTTTGGGATTGTCCTTTTGTTCAGTCTTTTTGGAGTAAGAATGTTTTATCTGACTTTTCTTTATCTTATGGACATATTCTTTTTGGTTTTTACATTAATGACAAAAATTGGGACAACACAAGTTTTGTGTTGTTGGGAAAAATTTGTTTTGTGTTGTTGGGAAAAAAATTGGGAAAACACAAGGTCATAAATATAAATACACAAAATGTAAACCACACTTTCTTTAAGCAAGAAATAAATTTGTATTTTGGTACAATTTCAACGTATATTAATAAGAAAACAATATAAAACAATAATGATAAACATTTACCATGTTTGACATTCTTTCTTATTATATTTTCATTATTGTTTGTGTACCAAACCTCTCCCTTTCCCCCTTTATTTTTTCTACTGTTGGATTAACCTTGTTGTTACTCTTACCTTTTATTAATTTCTAATGTAATTGCTTCCCATTGTACTTTGTCTTGATAATTATAGGAATAAGTGTGTTGTTTATTTCTTCTTGTGTGTTATATTTGCATTAATACTACATAAAAAAAAGTGTTTTGGCATAAATATGGTCTGTGTTTCCATAACAGTTTTACTATTGTTCTTCTTCCTAATTATTTATTACTTCCCCCCAATACTTCTTTTTCCATTCTTTAACATTAATCTTTTTTTTTTTTTTTCATCTACACTATATAATGTTGTTGTTATTATTATCATCAATTTGTGTAAAGTTGCATTACTTTCATTATGGATTATTTTGATGGAAAAACTGTCAAATATTTGTCATGTCAATAAAAGCAAACTCAAATTTAAATTGACTTCAGTCCACAAGAGGGAACTATAACTCTATTGGAGCATAACTCTATCAACATCAAGGTCACGGGTTAAATTCACAGGGGTCACACTTGTAACATAGATAAGTACAGTAAATGAATACTATAGTGAAATACAATGCAAATTTACAGGCAGTTCTAAAGAAGGTCACAGCTTTATTTCATCACAGTATACTTAAAAGAAATGCATTTTCACAAAAATCCAGAAAATCACATTGTATGATTTTTAAGTAATTCATTAGCATTTTATTGCATGACATAAGTATTTGATCACTTACCAACCAGTAAGAATTCCAGCTCTCACAGACCTGTTAGTTTCTCTTTAAGAAGCCCTCCTATTCTCCACTCATTACATGTATTAACTGCACCTGTTTGAACCCGTTGTGTAAAAGACACCTGTCCACACACTCAATCAAACAGACTCCAACCTCTCCACAATGGCCAAGACCAGAGAGCTGTGTAAAGACATCAGGGATAAAATTGTAGACCTGCACAAGGCTGGGCTGGGCTACAGGACAATATAGGCAAGCATCTGAAGGCAACAACAGTTGGCGCAATCATTAGAAAATGGAAGAAGTTCAAGATGACGGTCAATCTCCCTCGGTCTGGGGCTCCATGCAAGATCTCACCTCGTGGGGCATCAATAATCATGAGGAAGGTGAGGGATCAGCCCAGAACTACATGGCAGGACCTGGTCAATGACCTGAAGAGAGCTGGGACCACAGTCTCAAAGAAAACCATTAGTAAAACACTACACCGTCATGGATTAAAATCCTGCAGCGCACGCAAGGTCCCCCTCCAGCCAGGGCAACTAAGGACCGCTCCAGTCTCCAGACCTGAACCCAATAGAAAATCTTTGGAGAGAGCTGAAAGTCCGAATTGCCCAGCGACACCCCTGAAACCTGAAGGATCTGGAGAAGGTGGAGTGGGCCAAAATCCCTGCTGCAGTGTGTGCAAACCTGGTCAAGAACTACATGAAACGTATGATCTCTGTAATTGTAAACAAAGGTTTCTGTACCAAATATTAAGGTCTGTTTTTCTGATATATCAAATACTTATGTCTTGCAATAAAATGCAAATGAATTACTTAAAAATCATACAATGTGATTTTCTGGATTTTTGTTTTAGATTCCGTCACTCACAGTTGAAGAGTATGATAAAAATTACAGACTTCTACATGCTTTGTAAGTAGGAAAACCTGCAAAATCGTCAGTGTATCAAATACTTGTTCTCCCCACTGTATGTACAATATATCAATTCACTGGCATTTACTTAGGCATAATTCAGATATACATGGTGTGCATTATAGCACAACACTGAGGTTTATCTTAATGTACTGTAGTATACATTTGTAGGCTATGTTGATTGGGGCTTGTAGCCTGAGGAGTCTTTAACAACAACATTTTTCTGAACACAGTTAGGAACTGGGAGGTAACTATCCTCCATTTCCAGAGTAAGCTCAGATATCTGGGCAACATCGACTGGTTCTAGAATGGACATATTATAGGAAGGGTTTTCAACAATTGAGGTAAGTTTCCTAGCACAGGGCCATAGAGGAAGATAGAGAACTGGAGATTTAGACACATTCTGGTTGGAATGTTGTGCAGGAAACACTGTCGAGTTGGAGCGGATGAGGTCAAGGCCATGCAGACTTTCCGTTGTCGCAGGACGCTCTGAATTGTGGACTTCATGGATCTCACACTTCATATACCCCTCAGTCATCTGGGTACACTTAAAGCCCTGCAAACAGCAAACATTTGTTAAAAGTCTTTAGGACAATATTTTTTAACTGGTGTGCCACAGATAAGGATCAAGTGGCCAAGCAACACAGTGGCGAAACTGCTTTTCATATAAAAGTAAACAAAAATGACATTCCAATTTTTGATTATTATTTAGCCTATTATTAAGCCAATAATGCACCACAAAAAGTCTTTGAATTGCAAGTGAGCCCCTATTGAATGTTGTCTGGATCATAATTTAGTTTGACCTTGCATAGTTTTTGAGCATAAGGTCAAGGTCATGGTCATGCAACCTGTTCATGTTGAAATCTGCCAAATTTTATTGTTATACCAAGTGGCAGGTTAATTTGCACACAACCTTTGATGTCAACAACAATAAGAAGTTAAGCATTTTTATTTTGCTATGATGACTATGCACAAGTATATAGTTTGTTACAGTTTATTATAGGATTTTATTGGGATACAAAGTTGCCCCAGACATGATGAGAACACACCTGCAACCCATTTTTGGCTTGTGACCCACATAATGCTACATGCACATCATAATAATAATTAGGATTTGGGGAATCTGTCAGGAAAATTATAAATTAAAATCAACACTGATGGCTCACCTTTGAATTCCATTCACCTGCAAGTTTTGGTTCAGGAATATCTGGATACAATAATTTCTTTAACCTGAAGGATTTTTTAAGAGTGACATTTTAATTGCAGCTGAAAAATTTGTTAAAAACTATAGAAAATACTGGGTTTTTGAAATACATGTACGACGTGACGCTTCCATACCATTTTCTCTTTCTGTAGCAAAGGATTGTGATGATAATGAAGACAAGAGTAGCTGAACTGAAACCCACAACAGTGGCCACAATCATCTGCTCAACTATGAAGAATTTGTCACATTGCACACAATGATTATTGAACATTATAAAATAGTTCAATCATCAATAGTTTCAATTATATTGTATAATTAAATGTCTTTAGCCATACTGTCTTTTTCGATGTTCATTCTGAATGTAGCGGGATCACCTAATCCTCCAGATGTAATGGCACTAACATTAAAGGTGTAGGAGCCTGGATCTAAGGTCAAACTAATTTCAGGCCCTAAAATGGAAAAACAAAGTATGCTCATTTGTAATGTACAATCGTCTATAGGGGGAGGGGGGGGGATGCTTATTAGGGAGTAAACCCACCGTCTGTCTCTGATGTGATAACAGGTGTTTTAGAATCATAACGATACGTTATGACCCTGTAGCTTTTTATGAATCCTTTTTGCTGTTGTAAGGGCACTTCGTCCCAGGAAAGTTCAAGGTTTATGCCATTCTGTTTACCTCTCAAATTCTGAACTGTCCCTGATGGTCCTGAGAACAGATATCAGAAAGGACAATAAGAGAGACAATGTGAGGTAAACATGAAAAACTACAATAAACATTTAGGTTGCACAGACCTAAATAACATTGCATGCATTTTAAAACGACACTCTTGAAAATACAGGTTATTTATTGGCATCTATGGTGCCTTGAAGAAACTTTAACATCCATGGAACCTTGCATTCCACAAAAGGTTCTTTAGATTTTTAAAATGTTGTTCACAATTAGAAGAAATGGGTTCTTTTAAGAACTGAAAGGTTCTTTAGGGCAGTGTTTCCCAACCCTGCTCCTTGAGGCACACCAACAGTGCACATTTTGGATGTCTCCCTTTTCTGACCCATATATTTCTTGGAGTCTCTACTAACGAGCTGATGAGTTGATTCAGGTGTGATCGATTAGGAAGAGTTGGAAAATGTGTAGTGTGCCTCCAGGAACAGGGTTGGGAAACACTGCTTTAGGGAACCAAAAATGGTTCTTCTATATGGCATTGATGCGAAAACCCCCTTTTGGAACCTTTATTTTTAAGAGCAATCAGTCCATCATTTTACCAGTTATTAATTACAGAATGCTTACGTTGCTCTATAGCATATCCCTCACTCCTCCGCAGAAGCATTGGTTTATCATCAATGCAGGCATAGACCGAGACAGTATATTTCACTCCAGCCTCAAAAATACCTGCGAAAGATAGAATGACTGAAATAATTTGTTCACCAGCACCAACAAATCTAATTTTAGCTGTTTTTATGAACATAGCCACAGGTTACAGCTCTTTATCATTGATGAACAATTACAAATGTGCACAAATTCTGTATCAAAACAACAACAGCTCAGAAATGAGACAAATGACTCCTCTTTATGTTCCCAACTGACCATACTGTTTCCAGGTGCAAAAGGCGGGATGGTCACATTCTGGGATCTTCTTCCATTCCACAGCACATTGTGTCTCATAGTAGGTTGGAAACCATTCAACAACATAGCCACAAGTGGAATTAAAGTATCCGTCCCAAGCTATTTCAAAGCCAGCATTACCATTATAGATTTGGCTTACATTGACTTCATTGTCTGTGAAGAGTATGTTAAAAACTTTATTAATTTAAACACACTTTTCAACCCATTTAAAAAGCCTTTTGAATATACTTGGAATGCTCACCAGGATAACCGGGGACGATGATCATAGAAGGAGGAGAAAGACCAGCTGAGTTTTTTGCTGAGACTGTGATTTTTTGATCAGTTCTTTCATTCCCAGGGGAGATATTGTAGCACAGCTTTGTTTCTGGTGTTATGTCAATGATTTCTCTCCTCTTGCCTTTGGTAAGTTTATATTGCGTAATCGTCCCATGGCTTTGTTGTTGAGTTAGAGGCTTTAAAACATTTTTATTTGTTTGATTGTAGCCACAAAATGCAGAGCTAAAGCTAAAGACAACAGAGCCAAATCATATAAACTGCACTTACCTTCCACAGAACATACGTGTTTTGTTCAAAATACTGAATCCAAACATCTACTGCTTCTGGAACTGAAGAGAGATTATTAGTGTGATTCCCTAAATTTGATTGGCCGAGTGGCAGTCATTGACTCATCACTCACCCGACTAGTTCAAAAACACTAATTCATCCAGAAATGTAACTGCGTGTTGCTCAGAAAAGTGCAATGGAGTAATTTGCCGTGGCTTCGTAAGGAACTATTCACGTTGGCGGAGAAAAAAAAAATTGACTAAGTAAAATGTAAGTTGTGTCCACACTGTAAGTTACTCAATATGAACTTCTTGCATATTGAAGTCTTGTATAAAAGCAATATCACTCACAAAATGATGTAGAACTATAAAAACAAAAGCATATATATATAAATGAATGAATGAGTATATTTTCTAATAGGTTAATTAATTCTCTGTATACTTACTGTCCTCTTTAGTGGAGAACTCAGTAATTTCACTCCAATCACCCCATTTGTAGAAGTGTTCATCAGACCCACATCTCACTTTAACTGTGTAATTAGCAAAGGGCTGCAGATGGACAATGACAATTGATGAAAGTCCCAGTCCATTGAAGGTTTTCTGAAAATATGTAGACATTTGTGAGAATGCAAGGCCTTGAAAGTTTAACAGCAGAGAGCTAAAAGAGTGCAGTTATCAATTTTTAATGCAAGACAATAACTGATGAAACCAACATTGTAAATGCTTCCGTTGAGCATCGCTTGACAAATCATCGGAAATAAAATATAATTTTTCACGTTCCAACTCCACAGAAGAGTGACATTTCTTGCATAAGCAGCATAGGATACTTTACTGGGTGCTCTCAACCATACTGTGCAAGAAGAAACAGAAGATTAAATTCACAAATAAACGCTGTGGCTTGCAGTATTCTAAGAGATTCATCATTATTAAAATAAATAATTTGTTATACCCCGATGTGTGGGGTCTGCTGTATCCGTGAGAGTCTTCACACCAAGGGGATTTTTGCCAATCAGAGTCCAGATTGTCACCTGCTTTGGCACCGCAGGCAGGACACATTTATCGAAATCGCAATCTCTGACAAATACAAAACACTTAGAATCAGTGAAGACTCGGTATGAATCGTATGATATGTAACCATGATTTGCACTGTACATTAAGATGGATGATATATTGTTGGCTGTGTGGTTACCTTCCATTAAGTGTGTAGATTGTCTTTTTAGTACCGTCCAGGTAGGTTTTTCGACCACGATTCCAGTGACATTCTACAGAGTTGAGATCCCGTGTCATACATGTAAGATTCTGGTCATCTGGAGGATCTAGAGCAGTCAGTGAAACGAAACATTTAAGGCCAGGACTCAACTTAAAAGCCAATTAACACATTTGGTATACACTACAGTTCAAAGTTTGGGGCCAGTCAATTTTGTTTATTTTTGAAAGAAATGAATACTTTAATTTAGCAAAATACTTTTACTCAATTAAATTGATCAAAAGTGACAGTAAAAAAAAAATGTAAGCATAAAAAATATATATATTTCAAATATAAATGCTGTTCTTTTGCCATCACAGGAATAAATTACATTTTAAAATATATTAACCTAGAAAACAATTATTTTAAATCATAATAATATTTCACAATATTACTGTTTTTACTGTATTTTCTGATCAAATAAATCTGACTTTTTAATTATATAAGTGTTAGTATATGTTTACTGTAACTAATGATGGGGGGGGGGGGGGGGGGGTCATTCTTCTTTTCATTCTTTTTTTTTTTTTTATTCTTCCAAAAAAAATTTCACACTTTTTTTCTCTTATTTATCCAATGGCTTCATCAGTTAAAATGGTGGGCAAAAATATCCAAAGAAGCTGTGACTAATCCTCACCTAATTGGAAAACAAAGTCTAGCTGCCTAACTCTCTGTAAAACAAGTAAAAAATGACGGGTAGCATTTAATTTAACAATTCATGAATGTTTACACTTACAGCCAATAAATACTGAAGAGCCTGCTGAATTGCCTCCTTTATCATTACAAAGTATGTCTGAAGTTGCTTCCGAAGGGCTGAGAAAGTGAACTGGTTTTGTGATGTATGTCCTGTTACTGATGCAGATTTGAAATTTAGAATCGGGCGATGGAGCGGTCTTGAAGATGCAACAAAATGTGATGGTACTCCCAACCATGAAAACATGATCACGAGGATAGACAATTAATCTTGTGGCAATAAGATCTTGTCCTGTTATTTTAAAGGCAAAACAGTTCAGTTAAATTCAGTTTGTTGTTTAGTCTTTTGCATAATATGTGCATACAGAATGAGAACAACCTGTGGCTACAAACCTTTGTACGTGTATAATGGTGTCCATTCACCAGTGTGATCCTGATCTCGACGCCTAAGTCTAACCGAATGGGAAGTGCACTGCAATGGTATAGGTGAGGTCCATTTCCAGTGATGATGGGTTGTATTGTTTGGCGTCACGTGTACGGTTTCCTAAAACAGTTATTTCTCATTGAAAAAATAGCCTTAGACATATCTTCCATTGCTCCAGCAAAGAATCTCAAAAGATCAACTTACATTGTGAACAGGATTCATCTTTTCAGTATGATAAACCTGCACCTCATAGCTGACTTCCATGGATTCATTATTTTCAGCAAACCCATCTCTCCATTCAACATTCAACACCCATGCACCATTATCATGGGTGTCTGTTTCTGCATACACGTTCACCTCTTTTATAGAAAGTGGATGCCCTGTTGATACACAATTTGACCATCATTTATTTGAATTCTTCTATTAAGGGTCTCAGATAACATTTGAAATAAATGGGTATTGTATTATTAAGAGTTTAATGATATAGTTGAATGCATTTAAGACTCACCGTCCTGTTCCGTTGTGCAAATCAGAGAAGAAAGCAAAGCACACAAAAGCCAGACTGACATAATAGAACTCACCAGTGTCCCCACTAGCAATCAGATCTGCTAAGGAAACAAAATGGCATTAACCATGGCTGAATAACATCTTCTAAAAGGGTATTAAAAAAACAAAACAAAAATAAACATCTTCCCTAATGGGTTTTAAATTAAAGGACATTTAGGGGAGATGGTAAAGTGGAGAGAGACTGATAATGGAGTCATCATGGCACGACTCAAACCTGCATTCCCATGAGTATGTGCAGTAGATTGTAGAGTTTATAAAATTATTTTATTTGGACTTTAACACTCCAAATCATTTGTGAGTACAAATAGTATGTTTATATAACCCTCAAAATGTTTCCTTTTAAGAAACTGGAAGACCTGGAAGAGAGGGCAACTCTCTGACAAAACAAAGGAAATTAACATTTGTACTCTCTTGCTATTACCATCCTCATTCGAGACACAATCACACTTGAGTTGATCACCTCCCAATTTACACATCATTCGCTTCCACCATCCCTACCTGAAATCACCCAAAAATCTATATGGTTTAATATGAACAATTATCATACAGTATTATACATGTTATTTGAAATGTCTCAGTGCGACTGGTACAAAGGTCTCATTCAGAAGTAAAGCAGGTAATAAGGTGTGGAGAGTTTAGAGATATCTTGTTGACTGTGTGCCCCCATGTATATCAACTTCTGTCCCCATTAAGTCTGGGACGGTGATTAATGCAAATTCCCTCTGTGAACTCATGTTTACATTTGAACAGAGGTTTCTGCCTTGGTCTGTATTTAGGGAGATGCTGAAGAAGGCTCGTGGCGATTTGTAACTCAAATTAGCCTGTGATTGTGGAGTGTATGCAAAACATTCCGCATTATGTATTTTATAATGTCAGGTTCGCATCTTCTCTCTTTATTCAAGAGCAGTTGATGTTTTGTATTTATTATCTTTGAACTGATTATAAAATTGGCATGATACATTTACCTGACATGATAAATTGACCTGACATGATAAATTGTTACATTTGATTTTATTCCGACTGACTCTGAAATTGTTTTCCCAAGTAGATTAAATGGATTCGTATGTTACCGCAAGTTTTGTGTCAGATTAGTGACGACTAATATTTGGCACTAAAATTCAAGTGTACTTGTTTCGCAAAGAAGTTAATTTCCGTTTAGGGCAGCAAAATGCTGCTTGACCAACCTAAATATGGGTGTGTCTTTCCTCTGTTTTAATTTAATGTTACTTTAGATAAGTGTACGTGGGAAACCACGGCATGGCCAATCCAAAGCTATTATAAGAGAAGTAAAGTTGGTTGACTTATGTATAGTGGCCATACCTCTGCCTAAAGTAAACGTTACTTTAATTTCAAGTGTATGCAATCACGGGGGCTATAGCCAAAGAATCTTTGATTGTGTAAGCGTGAATGCGACCGATCTCAGGTATATAGCAATTACCTCTGTTTGGTGACCAAAGCTGGCGGCGAGCTTGATCGTGAGACCCGCCTAAAATGAACGGGTAAAATATAAGTAAAGAGTTAAGTAGAAAAATCAAATGTATTGCTAAACTATTAGATAATTGACCAATAACCAATTGGCAATCTAAGCTAAATTCGAGGTTGTGATAAAATGGAGTCAGATAAAAGCTAAAATGGAATTAAATTACACGAGGAAAGATGGTAACACGAAGACAAACACGCCTTTGGACCGATCTAGACGGGCTTACACTTATATGACCAGAAATGGATAAGCAGTGAATAAATAATCTATTCGAACATCTATTATCAGGCCATTAAGAGAAGCAATACTGATTATTGGTGCATTACTACTGGAAAGCTATAGATGCTCAGTGTCTATTGAAACTATCATAATCAGATATGATCTGCAGAAAATTAGTAAACGATAAACATACCACAGATGGTGACTGAACAGGCACAAATGTATGTCCATTACTTCAAATCCTAACATGTTTACCTTAACCAAGAGTTAAAACTTTGTAATATGATTGACAAATCTAAGCTCGAAAGACTCCAGAAACATGTTAATTTCAAGTGCTTTCGAATTGAAACTTAATATGAAAGCCATTCCAACGAATGGGTGACATTTCTGTCCCCAGGACATTACATGTATAAAAATGCATGAAAATTAACTCTAAAATACATTTTATTATTAAGCAAAGTGTCCCGCACATTAAGATAACTGCAAATTTAAAATGTATAATTAAAACCATTAATAAAACTACCAAGAACACTAAAAAAATAGCATTTGTTGCATGTCCCCACTCTCTATCTCTAAAGTTTACCATGAAATATAATTATTAAAATCCATCAAAAATCTTGTTTTTTTTGCATTGTTGTGTGACTTTATATATCCAATCTATGCTTTAGAATGTTTTTTTTTTTTTATGAGAATTTTTTGTAATCTAATATTTTTGATAAAATACACATTTTAGTCGTATCCCCGGATTTTTACTCAGTCCTGTTACCCTAACACATTCCCCCCTCTGAAAACTTGGAACATTCCACAAGACACATTTTCAACAGGAAGTTGCATCATCTGGATCTTCTGAAAGCAATGGGAAGTCTTGTTACCTAAATTATTTCTTAGATGTTATTTGTTATTTAAAAAATATTAACTTTTATAATACCAATAATATTAAATATTAACTTCTAAGTCACTAGAATTTGCTCAGTGTCCTCATGCTATTAGCATGTGTGATATGTGGCCATATGCTATATGTATTTGATAACGTTTTGCTTAAAAACTCAATCCTGTTACTCATATGAAAAAAACAAAACAAGAGTAGAGTCCAAGGTTGAGTTTTCAAGGTTGCAATTACTTATATTGTAGACATTAGCATTAGTTTTACAATGTGAATACCATACTTCTAGGGAGCCAGTCCACCACGAAGTGACTTTTACGTTTTGTCTTTCTTATATTTTGTAGAAGATGGAGAGAACCCATATTCAGGTGCCAGAAACACCCACCCTTGGCAGGCTGCAAGGGAAGGAGCGAGAAACACCCGAAAACCCTCTCTTTCCCCTCTTTTTTGTCTTAACTTCCCTCTTTCTCCCTCCCTCTCTCTCCTTCTTTCTATTTCCACCTCCTTCGCTGTGAAGTACTACTAGCACATACATCACTCAACACAGAAATCTTATGCACACTCTCTCTCATACAAACACATGCACACATATGGAGTATGGACACTCATTGCTGTTACCCAATGTTCATTCCTGTTACTATTTTATTTTTATTCAAAAAAAATAAAGTTAAACCACTGTTTTAATCAGTTTTGTTTGGTCCATAATTTATACAATTGTTTAATAAATTTAATTATTATAAAAAGTGATAAACTTGATGGCTTTGTGTTTTATATTAAAATACACCTCACAATACAGTGATTTTTTCAATTATTTGAATCATATAACCAACAATTTCTTTCAAATAAACACTTTCTTGTGGGGAAAACAAAGGAATTAATTGAAATGCTTTTAAACATGCTTTTTAAATGGCACATGAGTTTCGGTAACAGGACTGAGAAAACATGCGTCCATCTTCTGCTTAGAAACCTTGTAAAAAATTAAATAAAGTTGTCTGAGATTGACCAATACATTTTGAATATAAGTATTGTGTAGTATTAGATTCAGTGTTGAAAAAATATTTTAAAAAAAAATTAAGTTTAATTTTGAAGAGTTACAAGCAAATGTCACACATTCGGATTAAATTAATGCACACAAAAATCGCCCGCCTTCCTCTTTGTCACCATCTCTGTTCGAAATCTGCAATTGCAATTATTCGCGGAATTATCAACTTTACGTGGGTTGTGCCTCGGCACCGCACAGCGCGGATGAATCCAATGTTTTGAGGAGACTGTGCAGCTGTCAGTCACCGCGCCGGAGTGGATATGTCATTCGGAATCACAGATTCTACTTTTTGGAAGTATGACCAACATAAGAATTTGCACCGGAAAATGTCATCTGAACAAGTAAGTAACATCCACTTTTGTTCTGACCAACTAAGGGGAAAAAAGCATTGCAGTAAATCGCGCTGATTAAATCTAATGATCGCTTATCATATCACGTCAAACCGTGCATATCTACTTAGATCTCAAATTGTTAATGTTAACAACATCAGCATTGCGTGATGTAGTGTTACAAATTTATTAAAATGTTTAATTTAGATTCCAATACAATAGTATTTTATATTGAGAAAGTTCATAAATGATGAGATCAGGAAATCTCTGCAAACGGTAGGGGTTCCCAACGGGATATTCCTGACTGTCCTCTCTGTCACCTTTTGTCTTGGGGTTCCTGTCTCAGTGAGGGAAGTCCTGCCCTGTCCTGTTCTTGTGTCTCAGCTCATTTACTTGCTTTGTTTCAGAGTTTCTGTTGCAGTCTCTTTTTTCTGTAGCCACTCCGAAGTCTTTTGCATACAGGTGAGATACAGGTGAATCTCTAGTTGTCACTGGTGATTGTTGTTTGAACCTTTCTGGATCCGCCATCAAATTGATAAGTTTAATTATATCAGGTGATGTGAGAAGGCTATAAATTTCCACCTCCAACATCCTCACACGCAATATCGCCTACTAGCTGAGACGCCTTCTTTATGTGTACTGATGTGACGTAATGACGCAAAGACAAGACATGCTCGAATTTCCCGCGGAAATCCACCAGTAACACTGAAAATTAAAAACATTATTACAAGCTTACGTTTTGAATCGAGCTAAGGCAAGCAGATAATTTTGAACACTGGTTATGTTCTTGCTCAATTTATTTTGGATAATTTTTAACCCAAAAAAGTGACGGACTGCAGCTTTAATTATATATTTTTTTTAATGTTTTTCGATCAATTGTATTGTATAACTTTCTTTATATATTTTTTCTTTCTCATTTGGAGGATTTCAGACACCATATCTTAAAACAAAATATCTAAACATTAAAAAATGTTGCACTCTGCAGTCTAAATCACTCATGACTCGACTTGGAAGTTATGTCAGGACCATGTGTCATTAATTATTACTAATAATTAATCATTTATTTTAGGAATATTTGAAAGAGCTGAATATGGTACAGATCCAATGGGCTGAAGAATATACACCAAACAAAATAGAACTAATCGCATGAGTGAGGCAAAGACAAACTGCGCATGCTCACTGCTCATCTCTTCGTCTAACTGTTTCAGTAACAATCAGGTACGCCATAAAACACAATCAAGTAGTTAACATGACAAACTTACTCATAATTATAGGAGCGTTATGGTTACTGAGAACAGCAAGCCTCTTCATGAGCAGTTCAAAGAATAACGAGAATAAACACCCACCTATAACCTCACTGTAGGCAGAAGAATAAGCTTCGGTTTTCCTTATTATTTTCATCCGAAAGCAAAAATGGAAAACTTAAAGCTGAGTTATAGAGAGCAATAAAGTTCACTCGTAGTTCACACCGGAGGACATGAGCAGAAGTGTGAGTAATCTACATAACGTGGGAGGAGGATCTCAGTGTAAGCGTGCTGGAAGTTACGAGCGTCATTTGAAGGAATCAAGAATAACAAGTTTATTAACCCCTAAAGCACGTTAAAACGATTCCCTAGTTCCATTCCGTAGATTTTAGACTCTAAAATCGATCATTTTCCTGTGTACAGTAGGCCTACTTCCAATGAGAGTATCACCACCAGACAAAAGAGAAGTACTGTAGTAATGTGAATTAAACTTCCAATTTCACATTGTAAGCAAGGATTTACATAGGGGTTATGTAATACATTCGTAGATTAAAGTAGATAAAAAAAAAAAAACGGCCAAGAGAGTACAATGACGGGCTGTTCTGTGGAAAGTAGCAGAAATTTTTCTGTGGAATTCTACACAAATGTGTAAAGCCTATAAACAAATTATTTATGCTTACTGATTTGGATTGGAATGATAAAAACCTGCAAAGCAACATGAATGAAACACGTAGTCAAGAAAATCGAGGTTTATTTTATCACAGATGCATCCCTTCCATTAGATTTTCAAGGCCAATAGCTAATGCCCCCCAAAACACATTAAATTATAGCTCATAATTACAGAAATATTGTAAATATGTACAACAGTTTTAGATGTTCTTCCCTTCAGGAAAAAATATAAATAACACTTCTTGCATCAGTCTCTGCAATTTCATTATTAAATGGTGCTTAAATTTCATACAGTGCTCTGCAAAATAATGAGTGCACTTAAACAAAACAAAAAAGGAAAAAAAAAATCACTGAAAGGTGCAATTAGTTTTAGTTGTACAATGAACAAATGTACACTTAAAATATATGCATTTCCTTTACACTTTTAGCATTAATAGTGATGGACAAAACAACCCCTTACAAATACTTGAAAAACCTGTTCCACAAATACAATTATTATCTTTGCAATAACTGGCGCTTTTATTATTATTTCAAAGGTTTTATAAACACCAGTACATTACCAATTCAAAATTCTTTTAAAAACAATTTAACACTGGCTTCCGGTCACATGGTGGAAAAAAAGCAGCAAGAAAATAACAAAACAATTTAACAGTGGAAAAAGACCCACAAATAATCTTTTCACCACACATTCTGATATTAAATAAATTTTTCTGAGAACAGTTCAGAATATATTAGGGGCAAATTCCAGATGTTTTTTGTTCAAAAAGCATATTTTATCAGTGACTTAATTATTGTCTAATGTCCAGCTATAGTATAAAACCTATTATTCAGCTTAAACAGCATCATATGTACCACTCAATGCTCTCAGTGCTCACTGGCAGCTCTCATATTTCTTTTATTTCTCTCCATTATACTGCAGATAGGATTAGAATGCTCATGCACTTAAAAGTTTTCTCCAGAAGCCTAAAAGGAAATGTTGTAACAATTACTAGTATTGCTGGCCATATCAGACTCATTAGTTTTCACAATACAAAAAATAATGGATGTTGAAACCTGATGCTCAATTCAAAATCCAAGGCAGACAAAGGCAGATTTGTTAGTTTCTATAGTAAATATAAAAAGAAAAAGAGAAAATTCATTAATTATAATAGGGTTAAAGCTAATACAATTAAGGCAAAATAATTAAAGCTGCCTAAATAAAAAAAGGTCCAGCCAAGAGAATGAATTGATCGTCCTATCTTCAATAAGTCAATTGTGCATATATAATTAACAGGCACATTGCATAGAAATAATTAAAATATGAACCTCAAATTTATACTTGCAAATGGGGATCTAACCATTTTTGGTCATGTTTTTTATGCAATATTACACTAGATGCATCCAAACCCTAAAGACAGTTTGTTACCTCATTAAACCAAAAAGGCAATGCACAAAACTAAGAATTGCTGTTATTGATGATAATAAAGCACAGTATTTTATAGGTGCCGATCAGTTGAATTTGTGCAGAACATGTCAAATGTTTTTTTCTCAAAGGATTGAAGATCAGCATCAATCATTTCTTATCGGTTTAACCTCAGTGACTGAATATTTTTTACCTGTTTAAAATATCCTGACCACATTCTGGTTAAAAAGTGTTAATAGCAATCCCAATGAGAGAATCAAGTACAAAAGTATTTTTTCATAACAAATTTTGTGAAATATGTTTGGCGAGTCTTAGTTTGATTAATTCTCTGCAGAAAGTCACTTCTAATCACTAATAACTTGAGATAGAGAAAAGTAAACTTTCAAAATAGCAGTGGTGAAATGCACTTTAACTTCCTCTTTTGAGCCCATTGTCTACATTTACATTGACTGTCAGACATAATTAATAGACAGAGAGTTTTATCCTGGCTAATACGCTAAAATGGCGTGAAAAGGACAGAGAAACTGCTTGGACCAAACAATAAATAAGTAAATAAATAAATAAATATCTTACTGGTTTAAAATTGCAATTTTTTTGGATGATGTTACAGAGGTCAGTTAACAAAGTTACACAATAATACAATACAGTCACTACTGCATGATTGTGTAACAACACCATCAAATACATGTTACATACATTTACTCAGGGATTGCTATGTGCTAAGAATTGATTCAAATTAGCAGAAACTACTCTTTCATGAGTCAGGTACAAAAGGGAAATAAAAACTGGCAGTTGCTCATTAGTATTACTTAATGATGATTGTCTTACATAGCAAATCAAATCAAGACTAAAGCAGACTGTTTGCTCATCCTAGTTGCAAAAGCCACTTCTTCATATTCTTTAAACAACCAGAATTAATAACAGAGGATTCCAAAGAAAAACAGCCGGAATGTTGTAGTGTTGAGGGATCCGCTCAGGGAAAAAATGCTTTTGTACGTGCTATCAGACGCATTGGCCCTTCAAAAAGGACAAAATTGTCTGAACGGAATTGAGGGAAGTTAATAAACTTCCTAGAGAGTCTTGAATGATTTTGCTCGCTTGTGTTTGAAATACAATTTGCATTGACTCAGTTCAAATATTTGCGTGTTTCACTCTCCGTTCAATGCTATACAGTTTAGAACTGTCAGTCACAAGGATTTTTTTGGTTACAATATCCAATATAGATGTCTACAGAGCATATGTGTAGTGTATTTGTTCAGATAAAAACAGTTTGTTCTCTTAACGTACCGCCTTTTCTCTCTGTGGAAACATCCCGTGTGACTCTCTCAATCCACCCATGTCTGTCACATAGTCCTAGTCTGTTATTGCGTATTAATCTTAAGAGCATGGTCAGGCCAAGGAAATGGATTGACAGCTTGCTGCTTGGGGAAGAGAATTGGCTGAAAAACGTCTAGAGGATCACGGCTCTGATGGAAGATCTACTGTGGTAGACTTCTTGGGCATTGCCAGAATGCTCTCGGCCTCCTCGTACATCTACAAATAAAAAAGGTTACATGAATATTTAGTAAAAATAGTGCTGAAAAAAAAAAGCAATTCCGTTTACACTACTGGCAGAGAAATTACACACTTTAGCTTTGAAAGACAATTTGTAATGAAAATCACCAATAACATTATTATTAACCTTTCCACCTTACTTGTGCAATCTATATTGTTAAAAAGAGTTTCGTGTCAGAAAAACAATCCTGTTGGGTCTTTATGGGCTATTGAGACAAAAGTTTCATTATTACCGGAATGAATTGAACATCTTGGAAGAGTTCCTGAATGAAGCGTCGGGAAGCTAGTCTGAACATGCAATGACCCAGCAAGTAAGAAACTTCAGAATACAGGCAGATGTCATCAAACGCATAAGGAAACTTTTCCTTGATTCTGCAAGGTACAAAAAGTTCATTTGACAGAGAACAGGGAAGAAAAAGAAAATCCTATCTCTACTAAGCTGTACTTTTCTTTCCATTTTCCCCAAGTAATTTTTCACTTCACATTGCCTCGTGAAAATAATCAAAAGAATCAAATCACATAACATTCAGCCAAACAGTTACAGCAACCTTTGTTGGGAAAATAATTAGGAAAGCATTTGTTAAACTGAAATCCTTGTGGATGAATTGTCTCCTTACGTGAGGAGTCCAGTTTCATTCCCTTTAGTCCCCACTGAGGAGCTCAGGTTGATGACAAGCCGAAGCACCTCCTTCCTCAGAAGAACACGGCAGGCTGGAGCATCCTCTGGAATGTTTTTCACCCCTGGTAGAAAAACAGCATGTACAGACAAAAAAATAAACTCAACCTGTACAAAACACGTAAGATTGAATTTCTCATCTGACTTTTGCAAGAATTTCTCACCAAGGACAAGCTCTGTGCTGCGTATGCTTCCACCAGAGCCCTGAGAGACCGCGTCGCTGCAGCCAGACACTCCTGAGAACTTCGACTGAGGCATGACTTCCAGGTTGTGTATGGACTGGTTGCACCATTCCGTGAATGGAGCATCGGGATAGTCTAAAATGGGAACATGAGGAAACCATATAAATAAAAAATTATTTACTAAAATATGGTAACCAGACGACCATGATTACAATGAATAATGGGAAGTGTCTCGTAAAATCCCGTCTGGTCACCCTATACCACTTATTTGTGGTTAGTGAGGTACCAAAATGATGTTACCTATTTCCTATATTCATTTGGATAAATTACAGGAACATAACAAAACCTGCAGCTTATGCCGAGTTCAGACTGCACGATTTTAGCCCCGATTTTGGCTCGCCGACAGGTTTTGAGAAATCGCCGACAAATGCCCGAAATCACAGGCAAATCGGTGCTCGTTCACGCGAGTGACAATCACGCAGTGTGAATGAGCAAAGACGCGATCTGAGAGAATCGCAGACGAGTCGCCGGCGCACGTGAGATATTTGGCATGCTAAATATCTGGACCTGTCGGCGATTCACAATCCTGCTGTGTGAATGTGTTCTGACTGAAAACTACATCGGCGATGACCGACAGCCAACGAGAGAGCAAGATACAGGGAGGAGGAGGAGGAGGAAGAGGAGGAGTTATAGACCAGAATATCAGTATTTTAATAGATAGCCCTATATTTACAATTATATCAAACAAAAACAAAGCACAC